GTGAGAATTGTAGAGTCTCAGCTTGCTCTGAGTGCCCTTCAGCTCGTGAAAAAATTAATCCATACTTGTTCAAAGATTATTCAATCCACAAATATTGAAATGTGAAAAAAATTGCTTAAGGGGCAAATCCACTAAATAATGCAAAGTGCTGGCGCATAGGAGGAAGACATAGCCAAATTTCCCTTAAAATATGAAAAACTAAATATTCCTTGCACTCACCCTGAAAATAGTAATGCCGGGTGCCAAAACCTTGGGGCTGATGTAAATAGAATTCCACAGTTCGTTCCACAGGTCATATTGGGTATGATTTATACCCAATAAATGTCTTGGATTTTATGAAGTCCGTGAGTGCAGCCTGATCTGGGGAATTATATTGTGAAAAAAATATATATATAGTGTATAGTTTGCCAAACAGATAAGATTTAGAAGAAACTATCTCATTTATTAACTGAAATTAGTTCATTTTCTCTGTCATTTCAATGTTTTGCCATTGAAATATTCTTTCACTAAGTTATTTCAATTCTTTTGCCTCAAAGGGAACGAAATTATAAAAGCAACACACTAATTTCTTCTAAACAGAAAGTTATATAATAATTAGGAATATACTAATCCCAATAAGTATATCTAATTGGTGTTGCACATACATGCTATCAACAGTGAGTTTGTTAAAAAAAAAAATTAAAAAAAATGTACACACAAAGTATGGTCTTTAGCAAGGATTTCCCAAGGTCAATTTATAAACAACAACAAAAAGTTACTTCTCCATTAGCACAAACACCAATATATAATTTAATAAAATATCTAATGAAATAAGTTTTTTGTACCACTGAAAGCGTTGTTAGATTGGAAACCTGATCATTTCAAGGCAAATCTATGGGTGATCTGTGCACCAACAAATCACCTTGCTGCTTTCCTCTTAAATGTAAAACCTCTAAAGAGATAGTAGTGGATTTTATTATGAAATCCTAAAGACCATGGGGGGTGGGTGGCAGCACTGTAACAAGGCTGTGTAATATTAAAGAAATTAAACACACTGCCCTATATTCAAACTCCCACAGCTCAAGGGTAGCAACAATACAAGTTATAATCAGCTGTTCAAGGCATAAATTAATGGTATATTTCCATGCCAAATATAAGCACTGAATGTAGAATTTTGTAGAATTTGTTATAAAAAAATAAAACGTGTTTGTGTTTATAAGAGTGAACGAATGTGTTAATATTTATGTGTTGCATAGTGCCTCCTACTGTGTGACGAATTTGAATGTAGGTCAAAAGAAACACAAAGGAAATTGATTGGGGTAAACATAATAGGGGATTTTGATGTATAAAGTGCATCAGAGGAGGGCTGTCATCCTTCAACCTTGGGGGGGGGAGTAGAAAACAATTGCCATGATTGCAAAATTAATGGATCTCGCAGGGGATAGTCCTACTTATAGAACACAAATAATATATGGGCTTGACAAACTGAAGCTGCTGGAGTCGCTATGTGTGACATTATACATCACAGCAACCTGTGCAGCATGAGAGAGCAAAGTAATCATCAAATGCCTAAGTGATCAACTCTGTTTGCCATGGGTCTCTTATCACCAATGTCTTACCCCAACCTGCAGCTACTTGCAAACATCTCCACATTATATATACTTTCCATAGTCTGCCACAGTTTGCCATAGTTTGCCATAGTATGGCTGTTGTCTCCAAGGAAACATCAGAGTGGACCAGAACAGTCCTGGAAAGCATGAAGAGTATCGGTCACCATTACTAATTAAAGAACAAACCCAGACAATACTGGACAAGCAAAGCCACTGCTCGATTTCCGCTGGCTGACTCACTCCTGCCACAGTCTGCTAACAGGCATTCCATTGCTATCCAGTTGCTTTTTATAAGTGGAAGAATGGTGCCAGGTGGCTGCAGCCCATAAGCCATGCTTGAAATAAAGCCAGGAGGAAGTGCCCTCCTTCACCCCTTGCTGACCCCCCCAATCAATTACATATGTCCACATTAAAAAACAGGAGAGTTCACAGTGAAGAGATAACAATTTCATAGAAACATAGAAACATAGACTGTGACGGCAGATAAGAACCATTCGGCCCATCTAGTCTGCCCAATTTTTTTTCTAAGTACTTTCATTAGTCCCTGGCCTTATCTTATAGATAAGATAGCCTTATGCCTATCCCACGCATGCTTAAACTCCTTTACTGTGTTAACCTCTACCACTTCAGCTGGAAGGCTATTCCATGCACCCACTACCCTCTCAGTAAAGTAATACTTCCTGATATTATTTTTAAACCTTTGTCCCTCTAATTTAAGACTATGTCCTCTTGTTGTGGTAGTTTTTCTTCTTTTAATTATAGTCTCCTCCTTTACTGTGTTGATTCCCTTTATGTATTTAAATGTTTCTATCATATCCCCCTGTCTCGTCTTTCCTCCAAGCTATACATGTTAAGATCCTTTAACCTTTCCTGGTAAGTTTAATCCATGAACCAGTTTAGTAGCCCTTCTCTGAACTCTCTCTAAGGTATCAATATCCTTCTGAAGATACGGTCTCCAGTACTGCGTGCAATACTCCAAGTTTTAATATGATATCCATAAAATCTGACTTAGGACATGATCAGTAGACATGTGCAATTCGTTTCGTTCTGAATGCAAATTCAGGAATTTCGGAAATTCGGATGCTTCCGAATGTCCAAAGTGCAGAAGCGCCAAATTTCCAAAGTGCCGAAGTGCCAAATTTTGGAATGTTGAACCGAATTGCCGAAGTGTCAAAGTTCCGAAATTCCGACGTGCCGTATTTCGGAATGCCGAACCGAATCAAATTGCTGAAGTGCCAAATTTCCAAATTGCCGAAGTGCCGAATTTCGGAAGTCCTGAAGTGCTTTGGATTTCTGAAAAGTGGCAAAACAGGAGAGGGTTGGGGTAGGGTTAGTGTAGGGTTAGTGGTTGTGGTAGAGGTAGGGTTAGGTTTAGGGGTAGGGTTAGGGTTAGGGTAGGGTTAGGGGTAGGGTTAAGGGTTGGGGTAGGGTTAGGGTTAGGGGTTGGAGTAGGGTTAGGGGTAGATTTAGGGGTAGGGTTAGGGGTAGGATTAAGGGTTGGGGAAGGGTTCATGGTTGGGGTAGGGTTAGGGTTAAGGCTTGGGGTAGGGTTAGTGGTTGGGATTGGGAGTAGGGTAAGGATAGTGTTAAGGGTTGGGTAGGGCTAGTGGTTGGGGGTAGGGGTAGGGTTAGGGGTAGTGTTAGTGGTTGGAGTAGGGTTAGGGAAAGGGTTAGGGGTAGGGTTAGGGGTAGGGTTAAGGGTTGGGACAGGGTTAAGGTTTGTGATAGGGGTAGGGTTGTGGGCTGGGGTAGGGTTAGGTTTAGGGGTATGGTAAAGGGTTGGGTAGGGTTAGTAGTTGAGTTAGAAGTAGGGTTAAGGGTAGGGGTAGGGTTAGTTTTTGGGGTAGGGTTAGGGGTTGGGGTAGTGTTAGGTTTAGGGATAGGGTTGGGGTAGAGGTTGGGTTAGGGGTTGGGGTAGGGTTAGGTTTAGGGGTAGTGGGTATGGTTAAGGTTGCAGGGCAAGTGGTTGGGGTAGGGGGTAGGGGTGGGGTGGTGGTAGTGTTAGGGGTTGGGGTAGGGTTAGGGCTAGGGTAGGTAGTTAAGGGTAGGGTTAAGGGTTGGGCAGGGCTAGTGGTTGGTGTAGGAGTTGGGGTAGGGTTAGTGGTTGGAGAAGGCTTAGGGTTAGATTTAGGGCAGGGTTAGGGGTTGGGGTAGGGTTAGTGTTTTGAGTAGGGTTAGGTTTAGGGATAGGGTTAAGGGTTGGGGTAGTGTTAGTGATTGGGGTAGGGGTAGGGTTAGGGGTTGGGGTAGGGTTAGGGGTAGGGTAAGGGAAGGGTTAAGTGTTGGGTAGGGCTAGTGGTTGGGGTAGGGGTAGGGTTAAGGGTAGGGGTAGGGTTAATGGTTGGGGTAGGGTTAGGGGTTGGGGTAATGTTAGGGGTAGGGTTAGGGTTAGGTTTAGGGATAGGGTAAGGGTAGGGTTAAGGGTTGGGTAGGGCTAGTGGTTGGGTTAGGGTTAGGGGGAGGGGTAGGGGTAGAGTTAGGTTTAGCGGTAGGGTTAGGGGTTGGGGTAGGGTTAGGTTTAGGGGTAGGGTAAGGGAAGGGTTAAGTGTTGGGTAGGTTTAGTGGTTGGGGTAGGGGTAGGGTTAGTGGTTGGGGTAGAGGTAGGGTTAGAGAAAGGGGTAGGGTTAATTGTAGGGGTAGGGATGGGGTAGGCTTGGGGTAAGTGGTTGGAGTAGGGTTAGGGGTAGGGTTAAGGGTAGGGGTAGGGTTAGAGGTAGGGGCAGGGGTTGGGGTAGGGTTAGGGTTAGGGTTAGGTTTAGGGGTAGGGTAAGGATAGTGTTAAGGGTTGGGTAGGGCTAGTGGTTGGGGTTAGGGGTTGGGGTAGGGGTAGGGTTAGTGGTTGGAGTAGGGTTAGGGGTAGGGTTAGGTTTAGGGATAGGGTTAAAGGTTGGGGTCGGGTTAGTGGTTGGGGTAGGAGTAGGGTTATGGGTAGGGTTATGGTTAATAAACAAACAGAGATAAAGGTTAGAACAAAAGATAAATAGATAAAGATAATAGATAAAAATATGAAATAAAAGTCTTAGCTGGAAAAAGATCTTCTTTAGATCAAATAGTCCATAAAGTGCTGGTTCTGGAGGGTGCTTGTCCAGGGATAATATCCTCACTGTTCTTCCTCAGGGGAGTCCAGTAATATGAAACGATAAAACAGATACAGGAACCAAATGGTGTAGTACGTCCAATATGGTACAGAAGATAAAAGGAAGAGAGGTAGTGCACTCACATGTGATAGAGCTATAGCTAGCTCTTAGTTTAAAAGGCGTACAGCGGTATGATCCCCGCTTACAGGACATGGTGCAGACTTCTTCTTCCAAGGGTATATTCCACACTCAAATAGAATAGAGAGAAAAGACGAACAATAGTGCTCACTGGATAAAATTAGGTAATTTGGTTAATGGTTGGGGTAGGGGTAGGGTTGGGGTTAGTGGTTGGAGTAGGGTTAGGGGTAGGGTTAGGGTAGGGTAGGGTAACCCTAACCCTATTCCTCACCCTACCCTTAACCCTATCCCTAACCCTACCACTACCCCTACTCCTAATCTAACCCTACCTTTGCCCCTAACACTACCCTTACCCTTAACCCTACCCTTATCCCTAACTCTACACTTACCCAAAGTCCTGAAGTCCTGAAGTTCCAAAGTTCCAAAGTTCCCAAAGTTCTAAAGTTCCAAAATGTCGAAGTGCCAAAGTTCCGAACCGAAGTGCCGAAGTCCCAAAGTGCTGAAGTTCCGAATTTCGGAATGCCGAACTGAACCGAATGTTTTTCCCATGCACATCCCTAATGATCAGAGGGAGAGAATCAAACAATTGACCCAGTGGTTCAAGGAGATCTCCCTTTTCTAAAGTAATTCTTCTTCCTAGGGGGCTACATACAATTTTGGATATATCATATATTGAACATTTTACAAATAAGTTATCAAAAAAGTCTTCAATAATATATATCTTGATCAGCTTCTGAAAATGCAATGTTAGGACCAGAATCATTGTTTAGTTAAAGGATAACTGCCATCTCAAAACTATTTTTAATATAATAATACTTTAATCAATTTTTAAAAGAAAATAGATTTTTTTTAACAAAGTATATGTAAAAAAAAAGGAAAAGTGAATCCATACATTTATCCATATACATGTACCTTGCGTCTGACAGTGTTTAAAAATCAACAGTTAGTCTCCATGATCTTCATTGCTTCGTTCTATGTATAGAAGGGAAGACAATAGAGACTAACTGTTGGATTCAAACACTGTCGGACCCAAGGTGTATGTATATGGCTGAAGTGTCCAGTCATATACTAAAGATAGAGATTGTTTAAATTTTTCAAATATAATATATATAATTTAAAACATCTTTTCATTTCAAAACTTGATAAAAGGATTTTTATATTAAAAATAGTTTTGAGGTGACAAACGTCTTTAAGTATATTCATCTCTAAGTTGTCAAAAACATTCTATGCAAAAATAACAGTGAACTATCATCACAATGGCCCCCATATGATATTGCTGTCTGTTTTATTTGTGTATTCATGGTAATATTTTGCCTCCTTTATACTTTTCCCTTTTTTGTGTCAAAGGCTTGGTGTGTAACATATCAGTGTTGGACCAATTGAGCTCTGGAAAATGAATCTGTTTCCAGGACTTGGAAATGCACTGCACTTACATGGCTGTATCAGTAAGAAAAAAGTTAAATAGAATGTTATTATTGAAAAAGTAATGTGGCAGATTCCCAACACACAGTCGTTCTGGTTGGTGGTTATTGAAGAGCATATGTATTTTTTTCCCCATTGGTTGCAGTTAAATCTCTATCACCATTACTAAGTACACTGTCTGTAATAACTTAAGAGAGAGGTGCCTGAAAAATATATAACTTTCTTCAATATCTCCATATTGGTCTAAACAATATTTCAGAACAAGTTTAAAGCCAACAATAAAAACAGTGAGCATTAACCCCTTAAGGACCAAACTTCTGGAATAAAAGGGAATCATGACATGTCACGCATGTCATGTGTCCTTAAGGGGTTAAACATGTTAACAAAATAAGATTAAAGAAATGACTGTGTACAACACTTCTGTTATTTAAGTGACAGCAGAGAGACTGAAAAAACTGTTGCTTAGACTGTAAAAAGCACACCACAGTCAAAAAGGGTGAGGGCATCTTGAAAGTCTCCTCTGTGCAAAAATCAATATTCTGACATTTGAAAATTGAAGGCATAACACAGCATGTGTGGGTAAAACTGTAAATATGCAGCTCATAACATTACACATAAAACAGGCAGTTTAGATTAAGGTGAAAGAAGAAAATACATGTTAACTGTTCTATATGAAAGAACTTCTTTGCACATAAATAACCTACACATTTGCTGTCATGTTTACATAAAAGATGTTTAATAAATTTATAGATGCTGTATGCAAATATATAGAACTTCTTTGCAAAACAAAGCAATTTATAATTTGGAAAAAAAATTAAAAATCTATATTTCTCCATTTTTTTCACCTCATTTGGTTGGCAGATAAATTGGAGATTTAAATCAAATTTCAGCAAATGTCACCAATAGAACATTTTTCAGGGAAATAAAATCCAATTCATGCACAGTGATGAGGTGATATAAACATTTGCGCATTTCTCTACAATTCTCATTAATAAATATACAAAGGTTTAATGTGTGATATAGGACTAATTCTCTCAATGCTGCAATGAAGGCATGAAACAAACTTCTCTCAAAGACAGCAATGTAAAAAGACAAACAACACAAATATATTACAAATGTTTTGTTAATCGATAAGACTATATATTAGTAGGTGCGAGGCTGATTTTTACTTCTTAAAAATGCAAAAATGACTTACATAGTTACATAGTTACATAGGCTGAAAAGAGACGTGTCCATCAAGTTCAGCCTTCCTCACATTTGTTTTTTCCTGTTGATCCAAAAGAAGGCAAAAAAAAGAAAAAACTGTTTGAAGCACTTCCAATTTTGCAACAAACTAGAAAAAGAATTCCCTTTTGACCCCAGAATGGCATTTAGATTTATCCTTGGATCAAGAAGTTATTACCCTACATTGAAAAATGATATCTGTAACGGACCGTTTTGCACAAAAGGGGTAAAAACCGCTTAGACGATAATCCCCTTTCAGAGACAGGCACAGCTACTGTAGAATCACCAAACTCACGAATTGAATACAAGTGAATGCACCAAACACCCGAACTGCATACAAGGGAATGCTCCAAACACCCAAACTGCATACAAGGGAATGCTCCAAACACTCAAACTGCATACAAGGGAATGCTCCAAACACTCGAACTGCATACAAGGGAATGCTCCAAACACTCGAACTGGAACCTCACGAATAGCTGCTAGCAGACGAACAGGAAAAGCACCCAAGCGGCTTACACTCCTGGCAATCAGTCTCTATCAGCATTCAGTAAATCCCCCCAAAGACGAGACAAGGCTCCGTGTTGAGGGTCAAGCAGTGGTATGTTTAATGAGGGCTACCTGCCCAGTATTTATGCAGGTCTCCCACCTGGTGGACACTCCCCTAGGGGACCAGATGGAAGACTGTAACAAAAGACAGACATGTACCAATTACACACATACAGAAGTAAAACATCCCCACAATGCATCCCGTTTTTCTCCCCTCTGCCGTGGAGAAGTAATTCAATTATCTCCCAGGTCAAAGGCAAAACTCCATTACACACGTGGGGACACAAAGACAGACTATCACTTTAAAATACATAATGGGACAAATGGTACAGTAAATATATACATGTAACATATCCCCAGATAGCTCAGGTCTGAGTGCACATTATTAGGTGAATGGCACTCAGACCACACGAATACAGTTTAATTGCCATGGAGCCAAAGTCTTTAATTCCACGAACAGGCTCCATGGCATAGCTGTAACGGATCACCTGGCACCCCGACTGGGTACCTCCGTTAAAGGATGCTCCTAGCGCTTCCTGAGGACTCCAAGCACTGCAGCGGACACCACAACCACCGAACCGGAGAAGCATATGAATCCTCTCAAGCATATGAATGCTGTAGACAGTTGAATAGGAACCATACGAATAGGTTTACTCTCCTAGCAGTCAAACTGGAACAGCATACAATAAATCCTTCCCCAATAATGAGACGACACTTCACTTTGAGGGTTAAAACAGGAACTCCCTGTACTGTCACATACAGTCTCTTTTATTCCCAATCCACAAACATAGTACAGCCCACAGGGCGTTACAAAACAACCAATCAATCCGTACAATACACCCAGACACTCCCACACAAAATCCTCCCCCTCTGCATGTGATATGATTACTGAACACAATGGGTAATCTCATTATCACCGGCAGAGGAATACAGTTTTTACACAATATTTATAACTTCTAAAATATAATGTCACAAACATAAAACATACATTTTCATAATCAATCCATTCAGGGGAACAACATATTAAAAAATGGCACGAATCAGACCAGGGGTTCAAAAGTTAAGGGAAAGTCCTTTGTGACTAAATGAAGCATGGCTTTCTGGCCCAAACCAGTTTCAGAGTCTTCTATCCTGGAGAGTAATTCAATTATCTCCCAGGACAGACACAAGACTCCATTAAGCACATGGTTGCAAAAACACAAAAAACACTTTAAAATACATAAAGTCACTTTTTTACACATAACACAGACATTTCACATATCCCCAGATAGCTGGGATCTGAGCGCGAAAACTACCGAATAGCGCTCAGATCCTATTCACACAGTTCAATTGCCATGGGGCCGAAGTCTTTAACTACACGAATGGGCTCCATGGCATAGCTATCTGGGTTAACACATTCACATAAAGTCTGGTCCATAGTCCAAAGGCAAGAGGCGGGCAAGCAGCCCCCTCCAAGGACACGTGGCAAGGCCGGTTTTGCCACATTTCTCCCCCTTACCATCCAGACTAACAGGGTATCTGACCTCCTGCCGGTCAGTGCCCTGGTTAGTCCAGCAACCCACCCACGAAGCACAAACAGCAATACAGCCCACCCTCAATAACTGGTTACTACACCTGGATAAAATAGCAACTTGTCCATGTCCAGGTGCCTCACCACGGCTGTGCGGGGGGCTGGTAGACTGCCTTGGTGGGTTGCTGAGTGGGCAGAGACCAGCGGTACTCTGCCCGGGTGCAAGCGCTACCACTGAAGTAGCCTGGTTGGAGCCTGGTTGTGGGAGGGGGAGACCGACTGTCTCCCCTCTGGATACACTGCTCTGTGGCTGGGGGACAGGACCGACCGTCCCTACCCCTGGTGCTGCAAGTGCAGAGACTACGGTCCCATCTGCATAGTTGTGAGGCTTAACATCTCCCCTTGGTGGGTTAGGCTGCCGCTGGAGAGAGGGTGTAACAAGCTCCTCTCTCTGAATTGTAGACTGCTGCTGGGGAGAGGGGGTAACCTGCTCCTCTCCCTGACACTCTCTTTGCTGGTGGAGAGGGGGACCAACTGTCTCTCCTTTCAATATTTTGTCCTGCTGCTGGGGAGAAAGACAGACTGTCTCCGCTTCCTGCAGGACACACTGCCGCTGGGGAGGAAGGAC